GCTTTTTCTTGTCTGGGCTTTCATGAAATTGAGTAAACTGATTATCAGCTTGAAAGATGCTTAAGCAAGAAACTTGAGGTTCGTTTTGCTCTTTGTCACTTTCCATATCCAGTCTGTTAGTAATCCTGTCAATTTTTTTTTTTCCTTTTTGTCTTTTTTACTGACCGGTAACGGAATCGCAACCCTCAGTGTCGCGCCCGTACCGGGGACCAGCAACGGGATCGCAACCCTCAGTGTTGCGCCCGCACCACGCTCAGCCAGTGAGCGGAACCGGTCTCCACATGGGATCCAAACCCTCGGTGGGAGCGCCACCGCGCTCCCAAGCAGCGCACTTTCCAGTGCGCCACCGGGCCGGCCCAGTAATCCTGTCAATTTTGCCTTCATATACCTCTAAGCTCTCTACTTCTCTTCATTTTTACTGCTACCATCCTAGACCAAGCCATTATTGCCTCTTTTGTGTATTATTCAAACAGCCTAGTTGATCTACTCCTGTAGTTCCTTTTCCATATAATAGCTAAAGTAATCTTAAATACAAATCAAATCATGGCTTTATAATTGTCATTAGAATAAAATCCAAGCCCCTTTCTATGGCCCACATAATCTGTGTTTTGTATACCTCTTTAAGCTTACTCTATCACTCTTTCCCTGTGTACACAATTCCAGCCACGCTGGTGTTTCTCAGATTTGTCAAACTCCTTTTGACTCATGTTCTTTGCATATGTTGTTCCACCTGTTCTTCCCATGGCTGGTTCCTTCTCCTCTTTTAGGTTTCAACTAAAATGTCACTTATAAAAAAAGGCCTCAGACTAATGTAAAGGAAATTTCTCACTGTTATTTTCCATTGTGTTCCCTTGTTTATTTCCTTTTTTACAATTTGAAGTTTTATTTTTGTTTAAATTGGGGAGTCTTCTTTATACCCACTGGAATATAAACTCTCTTGTGGCACGAACTGTTTAGATACTCAGTAAATATTTTTCTGATTAAAATAATGGAAGATTACTGTTTACATACTATCAACTTTCTTTTCTGATTAAATAAGCCTATTTCCTTTAACTCTGCCTCATGAAGGACCCATTCTAAGTACATAGTCTGTTCTTTGAGAATGTGTATTTGAACATGGTCAGCATTTTCCCCATCTCTGTGCCTTTGCTTGGGCCTTCCTCTGCCTGATGGGCTCTCTTGTTTTCTTGCGATCTTGCCTAATTTTCATTGATTAAGTAAAATGCATTTTTCTTCAAAGTCATTTCTACTTCTCTGGTCATTATTATTTTCTCTGATTTCTATTATTAGTCTAATTTCTATGCTCGCCCCCACCCCACCCCAACAGTAGGATTACTGGTGTATGGAGACATTGTGATGAACTCCCCAGCATCCATCCCATTATCCCCCCACCTCTACGCCATGTGCAGAGCCATGCCATTTTCTATGCTTTTATAGTGTTTTGAATTTTTCATAATATTTTTTAAGAGTTTGTCTATATGTTAGTTTTATACATGCAAGGATACTACAAAAAATTTGTGGAAAATAGAATTAAAAGATAACACAGATCTTTCCATGAGCTGTTTGAAGACCCCTCATATTTATTTCTTCCTCTAAATTTAAGTGTAGCTGGAGGCATTTTAATCATTTTATCTATTACTGTAATCACATATGGAGACCTGCAGTAAATATTAAAATTGGAAATTTTTAAGCACTTTAGTGAGCCTCATGGTAGAGTGTGAACTGTGTGAGGTTAGGGCTAGATTTTATTTCTTGAATTCATGGAACTTTGCTCAGTGCCTGATCTCATGCAGTGGTTCTTGTAAAAGTTCATGTGTAGGTATAGGTCAGAATCATCTGTGGTGCTTTGAAAATACTGATTACCCTGTCCCCGTCTAAGACCTACTAAATAAAAAACTCCAGATTTGGAACATTGACCTTTATCTGTATTTTAAAAAAATTCACAGGAGATTTTGGTATGTACCCATTTACTTATAGAGAAGAAGTTCATAATGCCAGAAAATTTGAGGAAAGGTGAATTTTATCTGATTTGAATAAAGGTATACAGGAAAAAACATTTCATAGAAAAGGAAATGTTTGAGGCAGGTTTTAAAGGTTAGATAGTATTCTTTAGATGTTTCAAACACAGATCATTGAGAAAAAATTAAGTTTGTTGGGTTTTTTTTCTGTTTATTTTAACCAATCCGACTAGCATAATAGAGATACATTCTGACTCAATCAGTGAACTTTCAAAAAGTAGTTTAATCTGAGTTAGGTTAAGACTGACAGATGTGAAGAAAATCCCAGTTAGGCATGGTACAGAGCCATAGGCTTGGGGCAGTGTTCTCTGTGCTGGAGTAGCGGCCAGCTGGAAGAAACATTAACCCCTGAATGCTGTTTGTGGGGAAGTCCATGGAGTTTCCTTGGAGGGGCTAGGATAGGGCTATTTGCCAACTAGTATTGTGCGTGGTTTGAAAACAGAGTATTCCTGGGTACCAGTGCATCCTGGCTACATACTAGCCCTCTAAAAGTGATGGTGATTCTACATGATAGTTTAAACCATCGTTATTTAGTTCATAAAGATAGTTCTGTTTCAGAGTCTATCTTAGGCTCATAGGCACTGCTTTTATTACTGGGAGTTTCTTTTTATTTTTTCAAATAAATATTTTTGAAGTCATTTATGTGATGTGAAGAGCAGCCGTCTCTGAAATATTTGAAGAGTAGAGTTTTGTTTTAAAATTAGAATTCCTAGGCACATGAAAAGGTTAGATTGGCTGAAACATGGAAAAATTAATGGGAAATGGCATAGCAATAGGGTTTTTTTGTATAAAGTACTTGATACTCTTTTCTTAAAATCCTTAGCAATTTTATTTGCCATTAGCATACCAGAGTTTGGCACATTGTATTTATGGGGGTTGTGGGAATGTGGGGAAAGGAGACTAGTAGGAGATAAGACTGGAAAGATGGGTTGGAACATACTATATAGAAGGAATTTGCAAGTTGGCAGGTATCAAAACCTTAAGACTTAATTACCACTTCTGGCCCTAGGGAACCTGTGAACCAGGAATACCAAAACCTAATTAGAGCTTAGAACAGTGTTTTTCAAACTTTTTTTTTTTTAAGCAGCAGAACTCTTGTCAACCCTATATATAATCCTTGAATCTAAAATGATATAAAACAGGTAAAACTGGCATTTACAGGGCCGGGTTTATTACATTAACTCAAAGTTACTCATGAAAAGGCTGTGTGGTATTTTGTTGACTACAATAGCTTGAAACTGGTGGGTAAAGGAAAAATATCAGCTTTGTATTTTTCAGTCTCCTATATTTTTAGTCATAAAGTGACATGAAAATTCTGAATCACATGGATGAGTTGTACACTCATTTGTTCCATCTTATCTGAGTACATATGCATTTAAGTAAAAATTGTTGCAAAGTCACTACCTTCCTTTAAAAAAATCCGTAGATATATGGACAGGGATGATAGAAGAGAGAGGCTTTATCTTGAGGTCTGCGTGAAAATATCTTAACCCAACACAAATTACATTGGTGTTAGTGTGTTAAAAAATAAATGCATATTAATTTGGATCTACATTTGTGTTTTTATTGTTGATTTAATAAATAAATAAATAGTGGAAAAATAGATAAAAAGAAATTCAAATCAAGCATTTACAGAACTCTGAAGCATTTCTGGAAGCCTAGGATTCTACATAATACTGGTACACAGGTTAAAGAAGGTGGGAGAATTATAGCTTTTCTCAACTGAGATTTTTCTTTTGAACAGATGATAAGAGTGCCTGTTTTGTCATTCTTCGAAGAATATTATGTTAATAGGTACCATCCATTATATACAGTGATGTCTTAGCTCATTAGGGCTTAATTTCCCTGTAACCCCAATTGAGAAAGTCTGGGAAAGCGAGGAATCCATAAGGCATTTTAAAAAAGGGAAAAAAAAAGAAACCATGAATTACCAAAATTTCAGATGAGTGTAATTTTCAGACAATTATGGTCACTATTGTATTGTTGTCCACATGTCTGAGCTCTCAGGCACTGAGATTATTGGCTGAGAACAAGAATTTTCTGGGTTACAATTTGGAAATGAGAAGGAAAAATTTTGGTTAGGATATATTTTCACACTTTATTAGTTAAGGGTGATACTTTTTTTAAAAATGAAAAATTGTATTGGTCATCTTCATAATTCTGTCTGTATGCAGTCTTGAGTAATGTGTTTGTTTTATGAAAACCTTTTAACCTAATTCATGTGAAAAGGACAACATGACATTTCAGTATTTTGAAACTTGAGCTCTTTGGTTCCTTTCTTTATTTTTTCTGCCTCCCATTTCCATAATAGCATATTATTGTAGACCAAACCACTAACTCATGAAATGGAAAGGCTTCCTTGTTCTGTCGTGACTTATCTTGAAGCTCAAAGGCTGTGCATGTTGATTTTTTTCTGGTTTTAGACATAATAAAAAAGGTGGCAAGTCACTCTTCAGGTCTTGAAACAACATGCTACTCTTTTTATCTTTTGACTCAGCATATTTTCTCTGACTAGTGAATGAGAGCCTTGCATTTAAGAAATTATTTAACACTTCATTAATTTCTTATGTATGGCATTAAGCACAGCTACTCTAGACATGTAAACTGCTTCTGGGTGGAGACATTTAATTCCCCCCACCCTAACATTTAATTCCCCCCACACACACTAAACAGCTTTTCAAAGACAAACGAAACAAAACAAAACAAACAGCATATTTCTTTCTCAGTGAGAAACCATATGGTTTGTGCAGTAGCTTTTCTTATAAATTTTCTAAGCTATTTAAACGTTCTTGCTGTAACTGAGTGAAACCTTTAACCAAGAACTGCCTGAGGCATATAGATGCCGTTGGTTAATTGGCTACTTCTGTAGTTGAAAGGCAGTTGAACTATTTTTTGGACCCAATAAGTTTGTCCATTCCACTTGGGTGTTGAAAGAGCTTATGAGCAGTAGCTGTTCTGATTTTTGTTGGTTGTTTTCTCTAGGGAACAAGCTACCCTCTGAGTCAGCACTGGACTTGAAGATAAATCCTACAATTCATGAAACTGACTGATTCGACTAAAGGATGGATAGTTTGGGCAGCGTTGGACAGCTCTATGAGGGGTCTGTTTGTTTAACTGAAGGGATTGTTGAGTTCAGCAACTTTTAATTCCCCTAATCATAAGGGGTTGCTGTTGTAAAAACAGGGTTTGTGAAGGAATCAGTTCTGGCAATGAACATCAATATTCTTATTAAGTCTGTTTTCATTTTATCACCAGACTACATATAATAAATCTTTAAAGTGTAGAAATTTTACTGCTGTTTTTTGCCAGCAAGAATTTGTGTGTCTTGAGAGGTCAGCATAGGATTTTTGTAGTCTACTTATGAATCCACGTTACTCTCTTTTCACATGGGATTATAAACATTTATGTGAAGTAAACCTTTTGCACTTGGGTAATTTCATCTTTGCAAAGGCAGTATGTGCATTTGTGGCTTGAAACTTTTAGGATTAAATGGAACTTTATTTGGTTAGTATATATTTTACTAGATCAATGAATAATGTATATTTTGGCTTATGGCCAGCATTTTAATGTGCTTTTTGATAATTAATAATCAAATTATTAGTAAGGTAATAACTCATTTTTTACCTCAAATTTTTATAGTTTTTTTGTATCAGTCTTTGAGGAAATGAGATTAATTACAATGTTTAATTAAATGGATTTTTAAAATCTAAAACGTGAGGGATTTAAGCTACAGAAAGAAAAACTTTTATATCCTGATTTTCTAGGCCATAATAAATTATGCAGGGGTTCTTTGGATTGTGTTTTTGAAAACTTTTAAAAATAGGCTGTGGGATGACATAGGGAATATTTTTCTGAAGTTACATCTGTGTGGTAGTACATATAATTTTGTTGTTTAAGAGTTAAAAGATTGTAAATATATTAATTTTATTTTAATTGTTTGCAAGTTAGTTTGATTTCAAATATATAGGAATAATTGGAATTTTACCTAGCCAATATTTAAGAAGATTCTTTTTTTTTTTTTTTTTTTGGCAGCTGGCTGGTTTGGAGATCTGAACCCTTGACGTTGGTGTTATCAGCACCATGCTCTCCCAGCTGACCCACCAGCCAGGCCCTTACGTAGATTCTTTTAAATATCTTTTATTGGCTGGCCAGTTAGTCCAGATGATTAGTGCATAGTTCTTACAACACCAAGGTCCAGGGTTTGATCCCTGTACTGGCTAGCCGCCAGAATTAAAAACAAGTAAAAAATTTAAAAATTAAAAAAGATATATTTTATTGTTTAGGCTAAAGTTGATTAGTGCATAGTTCTTACAACACCAAGGTCCAGGGTTTGATCCCTGTACTGGCTAGCCGCCAAAATTAAAAACAAGTAAAAAATTTAAAAATTAAAAAAGATATATTTTATTGTTTAGGCTAAAGATGTAAATAGTAGTCCATTTTGGCAGAGTTTGGAACATTGGGCTTTTAGACAAGTGAGCTTGTATACAGTTTGACTTTAAGTTCATTATTTGCATGATTATTATGACCTTAAGAATGATACAATTGATGAAGAATATTTTAGTCAGTTTTGATAATTATTTGCAAAGTTGAATTTGATTGAACAATAAATTATTATATAGAAAGAAGTAAAGGCTAATATTAGCTTTTACTTACTAATTCTGTTGATTTGGGGGTGGTGGGATTGTTTGTTTTATATTGTACAGTTGTGCTGGGATGAGATCCACATTTAAAATATATGCATGCTTATATGATGCTTGTCCCAGTCATATCTTTATTTGTGTCCACTTTTAAACGTTTTCTTTTCTCACCCCATTTGTGGCTTAAAAGGCGTGGCAAAATGGCAGAATATTCCCAAATTAAAATTTATTGTTTTCTTTTTTTGGTGGCTGACCAGTACAGGGATCGAATCCTGGACCTTGGTGTTATCAGCACCACACTCTAACCAACTGAGCTAACCGGCCAGCCCGCCAAATTAGAATTTAGTATAATACTGACTTTTTTTTTTTAATATAATGGCAAGATCTTCAAGGATTATTGCCATTAGTGCCTTGTTGGGCAGAAAAATGACCAAAACCATAATCAAGATTTATCATATTCCTGGATTCTAATATGCCATCTATTATAAAATGCATCCCATCAGTTTAATAATAGCCTTTGGCGGGGAGAAAAATTTTATATCATTAGGTGTATAAATTTAAAAAAAAATTTTTTTAAGAAGGAAAGGAATCCAAACATTTATCTGTATTGCTAGGTTTCTTCAGGAAGCAGTTATATACATTACTTCACAGTGACTGGTTTCTTTCCATATACCTAAACTTTTAGTACTGACAGTGTAATTTTCAGGCTTATTGCAGAATGCCAGAAACTTTTTTTTTTTTCCTTTTTGTCTTTTTTTGTGACCGGTAACGGGATTGCAACCCTCAGTGTCGCGCCCGTACCGCGACCGGCAATAGAATCGCAACCCTCGGTGTCGCGCCCGCACCGCGCTCAACCAGTGAACGGACCGGTCTCTATATGGGATCCGAACCCTTGGCGGGAGCGCTGCCGCACTCCCAAGCGCCGCACTCTACCGAGTGTGCCACCGGGCCGGCCCGTGAATGCCAGAAACTTTAACGGATAATTGATTTGAATTGTTCATACCAGTGTCCTTTAACTTTGAAATTTTATGATATGTTCTGAAATTTGACAATTCTTCTGCATTTAATCACATTTTCCCTTTATACTATAACTGTGTTATTTTATATGACCATTAGGGATTTAAGTTTAGGTTAAATTTAACATCGTAAGGGTGCTGCACAAGTCTATAGTAGCACTGAAGAGACCTGGATTTTTGGCCCCAGTTGTCTAAGTCGTAAAAGGAGGCGAAAAGCTTGGTCTACTTCTGACTTAAAAATTAGAAATTTCAAGGGCCGGCCCGGTG